GGGCCGGACACACATTATAAAAACGGCAAAGCTCCTCCATCAGAGGGTAGATTGGTAGATTGTAACCGATCAAGAACGGGTACTCATAGAATGTGCAATATCCAGGCCGGTGCACATTGACATAGTCCGTCCCGGCCGGAACCATTTCCACGTGGCCCGGAATATGGTGCGTCTCTCGCAGATCATCTAATGGGATTGTAATAAAACGCTGTGCTCCCAGGGAAGGTCTGGGCTTTTAGTTGGAAAATCCCTGCGGACGTGCATCTCCTTCGGAAGGACGTTGTCTACGCTGAGAGGAACATGGGCCTTCTCCGCCTTTTCCCCTTCACCACCGGAAGATGGCGGAACCCTAGACGGGGCATTATCTTTGGCCTTTTTACTACTCTGTCCACGTTTTGTCATGATTATACTGCGTAAGAAACGAAGCACTGACGATAGGAAGTGTGGTTTCAACAGAAGTGGGAGAATCCCTCGCGAAATAACGGTTACAAGAAAGAAAGACAAAGGAGTATATCAGAAAGTGCTTTCCGAAGGCTTGAAAGTTGAATCGAATCGAACCTCTCTCCTACTTATAGGGATAAGTTGCGCAGAAATCGAAGAGTCATGATTCAAAGCGTGCGCGGGAAACCAAAATGTCACATCATCCTCTGAACCGCCTCGGGGGCAAATATAATAATGATGCATACAGGCAATGACGTCATTCCAAAAAGGAAGCCACGCGTTAGTGGCTCAACAACGTCACATATTTCACCTCGTTCATATTGCCGCCCCGGGTCGAGGTCAAATTCTCCTAAGCCGAGGTTCACATTTCCGCCCATCGAAGACGCCCACCGAATGCGTCTCCAACGAGCGGAAGGACTAACTGTATAGGGTCAAATTTGACCCTCAGCATCTCTACGCCAGTGGGTACGCCCAGTGAGTGTACGCCGACTAACGTAGCGGGTACGACTCGGCCGTGGGGACAAAAGCGACATCGTTTAGGATTCAGTGTCTTCACTAGGGAGACGTCACCTGTCTTTGTAACTTTTTGATTCTTTCGAGGAGGGTCTCTTATTATATAAAGGAGACCCTCACATTGTAAAAGAGGCATCTGATCTAATACAACTCTCTCATTTTCTAGCTTTCTCTCTCTATCTCTACTTCAAACGAATATATCTTATTGAGTTCATATTATCACTTTGCAATACTAGATTTACAACAATATTATCATTTTTGCATCTCTAGGATTATTATATTTGATTACGATTTACCCCTTTTCCTACTTTTGATTGTTTTTTAGCTTACAAAGTATATCGTTAACTTTTGAGCCAAACAACCATCAATAGCTACAGCAAACCCTTTTAAGAAAAGAGTACCCTTTCAATTGTTTCAGAAAAATGGCGTACGTGGATCATGCTTTCTCGATTTCAGACGAGGATATGATGATGGACGGCTCTCACGCCGACATCAATCGCGGACCGATGAAAGAGATCACTCTTGCCGTTTCCCTTCTAGTCTCTGCAAGAATATTTAATTCTCCAATATTAGCGCGCCTAAATAAGGAAGTCTACAACTACAATGATTCCTTATTTAATGAATTGTCCATATTTTGTAGAAATACTATTAGCATGGCGGATAATATGCAAACTATGAACATATTTGGTAATATAGTTTCCTATATGGTATAGGAACAAAAATTTCCCGAAAGAAAATATATATTACTATAACATAACATGAAATTTATTTCGGGAAAAACTTGACTTTTATAGTGAAATGTTGTTATATAGGGATGCTGTTATAGAGAGGTATAACTTATAGTCTTAATAGTAAGAAAATTTAAATGTTTATACACATACATGAGATATGCTTGAAAGCTCACCCGCAGAGGTGGCTGAACCCCAAGGCAGGTAAGGCAAGGGCTTTAGGCCCCATAAATTTGAAGGCCCTACTTTTAGTAGTTTTAGGTTTATGTATTTATTTTCCTTTTAGAAAAGTGAAGTATTTAATGTGAACAACTATAATTTTGTTGTGGAAAAGGAAAATAAAAGTTTACTTTTACCGTTATTGCATATTAGGGATATGAACCGTTACTTTTTACCGTTCTTGCCTTTTTGGGATTGACTTTTTTTTCATATTTATTCACACTACTTCTTGCCTCCTTCTTTTCTACATTAACTTCTTAAAGCTTTATGATAATTCTTACTCCTTCATATCAAAAAAACTACAAGACTCTTGTGATCCTTCTTTGTGGGATAAAATACAAAATTGGTAAGTACGAAATTTTTTTCAGTGATAAATTTTTTCTTTCTTTCCAAGCATTTCTTTTTCTACATATTGTACTTGGGACTGATTTTCTACAAGAATGATTTTACAGGTTTTCAACTTATTAAAAAGTTATTTGGGATCAATTTATCAATTGAATCAGGTTCTATTCTAACTTTTAGCTATTTTTTTAATCTAAAATTTATCATTTTTTATATTTCTACTTTATAGATATACTGTAATTTTTTTGTTATTTACTAAAGTTTAAATATGTCTTCTAGAAAATATGAATTCGGTTATGCAAAACTTCAAAAAAAGAGAAAAATTGAAACCTTAAATTAACTTTATGAATTCGCTAGAAAAATAGACATTAAATAAAATACATATAATTTTTTAAAGGAATTAAGGCCCCTCATTACGGTTTGGCTTTAGGCCCCGAACTGTGTTGAGCCGTCTCTGCTCACCCGTTACTGTCAAATTTGGATTTCTATGGTAATTTTAAGCTGTTTTTATCTAATTTATTATGTCCTTATATTGTATACTATAAGCCTAACATTTTATAATTGAGCATGAGATGCTTTAATAAGTATTTGTTGCTTGTTAGCACTGCAACAAAAAGGCAAATTAATAGATTTTGATAAGTTAAATTTTTACTTGTATATAATACTTTTATCTCTAGGGTAAATTGGTCTTATAATAACTATGTTCTTCGACTTTCTTTTGCACATTATCATCTCGTTTTCATGCTTTACTTCAAAATATTGGAAACGTACTTATGCTTTTTGGGAAACTTATATTTAAGCTAAAACTTTAAAAAAGAAAATTCTAAAAATTTGCTAATGCATTGTGTGCTACAATTGCAACTCACTTAATTGTAATGTCCAACGCAATATATAATAAAGTCCTTGTGAGAACAAAAAGTGACTTTCTTAGATTGCTTCAAAATCATAACTTCGATCTGGAGAAAACCCAAAAAGACACAACGTGGAAATCATTCTAAAGATACCGAAAGTTACTAGATTTGAGTTGTTGAATTATTTAGGTGATGTTTGTTTCAGTTTTTGCAAACCATGAGTTTGAATAAACTTAATTTGTACTTTTTACAAAAAAAAATTGTTTGATGGAGTTTTGTTTCTTTTTTTCCCCGCAAAGAAAACGCAACTTTTTAAAGAAATTTAAAAGTTTCCAAATTCAGTTTTACAACTACTAGGAAAACTCAATTTGAAAACTAAAGATTTCTAGGATTAGCAAACATGGATTTAACTCAACCAAAAACTAACATTAATACCATGATAAGAAAAATGAACACTAGCCTAACTCTACACCGAAAGTAAGATTGTGTAAAAAAATAACACATACCATCAACCTAAATGGGATCCTAACAACTTTAGCTACAGACTTATCTAAGTAATTCAGGCGTCATAAGATGATTTAAATACTGCCTTGAGGTATGTAAACGTAATGATAAGTAGCCCAATGAGCATTTCCAGTGTTTAAAACAGACGATATTTTATCCTTCTGGTCTAATATGATTGCCTATCCAAGCTTTGATTTGGCCACTTTTTTTTTCCACGACATTGTAGAAAATTATAGTGTGTTATTTAAATCTAAACTTTAGATTTTCAAAGACGACCTTCCGCACCTAGTAAATTTCTTTCATGCAAAGATTTCAATACAAATTCGGGAGCGTCGTAATAGTGAGAAACACATCAACAGTTCCCTAAAGAAAACACATAATTTGTTCTCACAGCTGGTTTTTGCATAATTTTCAATCTCACAAATAAATCTTGCATGTTGACTGAATAAAGATGAATACTTGTTTTCAAATATGACTATCCTATACTGTCTTCATTTTCTGAGAAAATAGAGGGATTGGTGGTGCTCTAAAACGAGACATCAGTAACCATATCTTCAACTCTAAATCATAAACAGAAGAAGGAATAGCAGATTTTTCTGCTATGTAAGAAAGGTTTAAGGATGATCATTTTCATGGCAAAAAAATGGATTATAATATGCCTTTCATGTTGGGCAATGGTGCTCAGCTGCAATTTACTTCAATGGCAAGTTTCTTTACCGTACTTGGACACAATTGCATGTTAAAGTTCCCACTGGACATTTCTAATGCACACTCATTTTGGTTCAGGCAAACCTGCGAAACATAAATAAAAATTGTGAGGTTATTACAGAAGAGAAAAATGAGTTGTCACAACTCACATGCTAGTTCATGATAAGAGCTTAGAAATCGCTCGTCAACTTAAGCTATCACTTATGTTACTTTCTGGTATAGTTTATTGCTCGAGGCTTTTTTCCTTTTGTTCAACCTAGAAAAGTCATGATTCGCGTAAAGGGATTTATCAGATATTTACCTTTTCGACTAGTGCTGCAGAATTTGGATCATGGCAGTCTCCTTGCACGTAGGAGCCACATGTGCCAGTAGGATTTCCAAAGCTGGCAAATTTGACAGCAGAAATGTGAGTATTTGTGGGGCACTTCAACCTTAAAATTGCCCTGTTTTCATTATTCTTAATTTCACTTCCTTGCAGATATTCAACATAAAAGGATGGGTGGTCCTCTGAAAGATGGCCACAAGTTCCAGAGACCTTTCGCTTTGAGAATCTAATTTGAGAAGGATCTCCACCTGTCTCCTCAAAGATCACCAAGATATTTCCTGATGGCTTGAACCAAGATCGTGGCACATGATACCTAATTGACAAACGAAATCTGAGAATTTCTACTTAGAAACATGGATGCACTTAAAAAGAGCAAAAACCAACTAACATTAAGGCATGCAAATTGATGATTTACTACTTCGAACACTAATGTTATCTAGAGGCGCGGATCCAGGATTTAATGCTTATGGGTTCCTGCAACGACGTCGAGGAAATTTTCAATAGTAACTGGGTTCACATTCAAACTTATAGATATTTAGTAAATTTTTCGAACACATTTACACTGTTTGGACAAAATCTACTGGGTTCACGTGAACCCGTAGGTCAAGAGGTGGATCCGCCCCTGGTTCAATCGACAGTTGGAAACAAAGAAGTGCTCATTTAGCAACTAAATAGGAGTTTTAAACTTTTTAGGAATTCATGCAAAAAGCATTATCGACAGAGCTCGAGATAATTAAAGTAGCACTCATGCTACTCATACTGTTCAGGCATGCATCTGGTCTTACCATCTCTGTGTAGGTTCTCCACAGCCAGTGTCACATTTATCAGGGTTAAATTTCCCTCTGTAGTCACATTGAGTAACACACTTCTCAAGTTTAGAACTTTTCCTCGGCCAATATCTGCCAATTTCTTGTCCATTCAACCAAGCCAGTCCTTTTCCCATATGAATCATATCAAGTGCAACAGGTTCGTCACCAGGAGGCGCATCAACTACTGCCTGGAATATAGCAGAAAAGTACCAGCTGTGATGAGAAAGTTGGAAGGGGTACAACTTCAGAAGCAACTAGATATAGGTTCAATGTAACACATTATTTCCTTCTTACCTTATACCATGTGAGGGGCTGTTGCTTTGGTGGCTCTGAAGTCAGAGCCCAGATTTTATTGTTCAAGCCACCTGACTCGTGTATCCTCAAATATTCTCCGTGCAATCCAACCTAGAAGTATATTATAACTGTTTAAATGAGCAATCAAGGTTCCCAATATTCCAAACAAAATATATTGTAGTGAATGAAGCCTGGGAACAACACGTATTGGTTTCGCGGTACTGAGCTGCACATGAGCAACACCAAGATATATTAAATGTGAATCACAATATGGAGAGAGTTTGAGTTGAGGCAATGAAACATCACATGGATCATGGACTGATACGTAGTTGAGATACTTCAAGAGAAGATCTCTAGATAAGAACAATTATTGATAAGACATAAACAGAACTTGATATCAAGCCTTTTTATTTTGTACTAACTTGATATCAAACCATTGCAGACCCAATTGAGCTTGTCCAATTGATACTCAGCAAGTATAACTGCATTACACAAGAGATATATTCCATCTTTCCCAATTTTTCATCACCTGCTTCTCATTTTACTTCAATATTTGTTGGGCTCCTTTCTCTTGATGGCAAAAGTTTCTTTCTTCATGTATACAAATTATATGGCATAATACAAAGTCATATTACTTTTTCCCAGGTGATCTTTATTAACAGATGAGCCCTTGTTTTACAGCTCCAAAACAGTAATCTACTGAAAAGAAATTTTCCCTTAATATACGCAGTAACCAAACAGGGTCAACTAAGGTCCTGTAAAGGGACTTCTGGATTTGTTATTTATTATGAGAAATACTTGATAAGTAGTATTCAGGAATGAATGTGTTATATTTCAAAATCGCCATATCCTTCAATTACGGCTATAAATCCATAGGTCCGTGTAAAACATAGCTACCATATCATTTTTCATTTATTAGTATAGTGAATTCCCCAGGACACTATTGAGTTGGTTGATTTGCAAGTTTTAGAATGAAGACATAATATGTAAACTAGAAATCGGACAAACACAGAAACAATCAAAGAATTATCACTAAGACAAACAACACATGGGCCTTGTACAAATTAGAAGAAATCACACGCTTAAGGCTAGAGGCGGAGCTAGGATTTCAACTTTATGGGTTCTAAATTTTAAAACGACGACTTCAAGTGGGGTTCTAAATTCAATATTTGTATATATTTAATGAACTATTTAACGCAAATATACTGTTTGAGCAAAAGTTACTGGGTTCGGCCGAACCCGAATACGGGCTTCTACCTCCGCCCTTGCTTAAGGCCCCTATAACTGAAGGCTCACATAGTCGTACTGTGGAACTGACCTATTAGCCATTTGAGTAGAAAGGAAACAAATGGTTCCTCTATACAGACAATGTGGGACAACCTCTCCAGAATTACTGCAAAACCAAAGGACTTCTGACTTCTAGTCTAGCCATATATCAGGTCTCATCTCACTCAAAAATCTACCCTAAATTGTTGACAGGTAAGACCTAAGCATCATGAAAAATATTTCTACATATGTATCCATTATGGGATAAGGCTACATTAATACAATGTCCTACAATCAAAGCTTTGACGTTCTCATCAGGCTCCATTACCAATAGAAGAGTCTAAGGTATGAGAAGATGGTGTTAGCTCCATATATGACCATAATTGTTTGTTGAGGAATGAGGTATTATAGCTGTAGAAGACCTCTTTGCTTACATTTTTCATTTGTTTCTTTTGTGCAGTGTTGCTGCCTTTAGGTTCATGCTATTAATACACAAAAGGAATACTACTAACGTGTCCTTTCTGCCAAACGCATTGCATGGTCCTCATCCCACCCTCTCAAAAGACAAAACAGGTAATAGCACAAGCTCCCATTTCGACAATGTCAATGCCCTGCCATGATCAATAGTGGCTTTCCCAAATACTGGAAGAGGGTGCATAATATTTTCAACTTTGTGCAGACCTTAAAAGGAGGAATACATGCTTCCTAGATTGACAATGATGGAAGCTCAAACTTAACTGAAGGGAAAAGGCAATACCTTATAGGTCCAAGTACTCGCAGACAAGTCCACAGTCCCACTCTTGAACCCTTCAACTTTGACACTTGTTGGACCAGCTCCAATCCATTCATAAAAAGATCCAGCAGTCTTCAAAGAAAAAACCAAGTTACTTGGATTCTTAGACTAAGGAAAAACATTTAGAGCCTGTTTGGAAAGCCACCCTGTAATTGGAATTGGTGTAATTACTAGGATAGTAATTACACACCCTAGTAATTACACAGTTGTGTAATTACGATGACATGTTTGCTTGTCATAGTGTAATTACAAGTTTACTGTTTGGTTGCACAAGTGTAATTACACAGTTAGATTAAATTTCAAATTAAGTAATTATCAAAACTTAAAAGTTAATATAATAAATATATGCATATAAATTTTTATAAGTATAAATGATATTATATTTTGTATTTAAGATGTATATTTTTTCGTGAATATACATTAATTTAGTAATCATATATTTATACTAATATTGTAAAAATAATTTATATATTTTTTAAATTAATAATATTTAGTTTAGATACTTACAAAAATAAGATATACGTTTTGTAAGAACATCATGGAGTTCATGTTTGATAAAATAA